GTTTGAATTGTCTAACTAATAATATATCTAGTATTAACCTACTACTTGTGAGAGGCACATACTTCTTGATAGATGAATTTTATGTTAAGCGCTACTTTCCTAACAAGTTCAAATATTTTAGACTAATCCTTTGATCACAACATATCATATTCAATTTGTATTTTTTCTGTTTTGAATATTTTGAAAGTTTTTAATGTGGAGACTTTACTATTAAACCCAATTTCAATTTAAATGGTTTTTCGTCACAAATTTAAAATAAATTACTAATAGATCAGTTATATAAATCCTTTTATAATATTGTATCAATATTATTTTAATTAGATCTTTTTCGATTAATATATCTAAAAATAAAAATTAACGCGCATGTAATTTTAGTAATTCACAGCTTTATTCCAATAATAACAAAAAACATATATCAGCTGTAATTTTAGTGACATTATATCTAATTATTTATGTTTTTGATATCGGTTGGATAAATAATTTAAAAAATAATTATAAAAATTAAAACTTTTCCTTTATAACGTTTGTCTAAATAATAATCGAAAACTTCAGAGCATAATAAATAAAAGCACTGCATAAAAATTCGTCCCAGAAAACTCCCATCCTTTAAGGCGCCTAATTACAACTTATAATATATAGATAAATGTATTTATTATTATATTAAAAAATACTGGCCATCTATGAAAAATTATCTTGAGAAAAAAAGTAAAATGACAAAATTCAGAAAATTATTAACATATCTCAAACAAGTTCAACCTAATAAACATATTAAGTTTAAAGTTATAAATTAGGTTTGTTAAAAAAAAATGTTTTCATATACTTCAAAATACTTCTAATGTTTACGTCAATCAAAAAAATTGTAATATTTAAACACTATAATAGTAGCTGAAAATAAGTCTATATTAGATTTTCATAAATAAGTTTAGAACTTTTATGTAATTGTATAACTAAAAATTAAAAATATATAGTATTTAAAATACATATATAACTATAAACTATTAAATATATTTAAAATTTTAGAATTAAAAAAAAATATTCAATTAATTTTAATTTTTTCGTGTCTGTTTTTTCTGAGCTATTACAGCACAAGAAAAAATCGAATTTATTTGGAGACCATACACTTAAAAATGGAAAAATTTTCGCCCATTTACGGCCAACCATCCAAAAAATAATAATTTTTAAAGTTGGTAAATTTTGACATTAATCACAACTCTTTGAAAAATAAATTATTTAAAACTGAGTTTTTATAAATACTTTTGGTATTGCCCTTTTATTAGATATTTTTTTGTGGAAATATTACTCTTTAACTGCCACAGGTTGGATTTTAACTTAACTTTTAAAAAAGTTATGAAAATACTCGGAGCTTCAAACATATATTAAATTAAAGCTTATGTTACATATATTAAGAGTAAAAAGATTTATTCTGATACCTTTATCTTCAATGTACAAAGGACACCTGAAGTTAAATAAAAAGTATTATTTTAATTTGAGAAAACACCGTTTTTTATGTTGTTATATTTTTTTTAATTATTCATGCTTATTTTAGGTCAAACAATATAATCAAATACATTGGGAGAAGTAAGTACCCCATTTAACTTCCCCTTCTTTTAACAAAAATAACAATAATATTAATTACATTAGTTTTAGTTATAAATATTTTCAACAAAATTTTTTTTAAAATTAAACTCGCAGTTTTATTGTAAGTTATGTCGTCAATTATAAATAATAATTTAACTAATTTAATTAGTCAACTATAAAAAAAACTTATATTATTTTAATATATTTCACACATTCTTATTTTCACTTTGAACAAAAGTTCCGAGAAATTTTTTTGAAATATGTCTGACTTTTATCTGACATATTTCAGACATTAAAAAAATATATATATATCAAATAAAAAGAACATATTTTAGGATTTCATAAAATTTTTTTTCCTGGTTAATACAATTTTAAAAACGTTATAGTATCTTAAAGAAAAGAAATATATATATTTGACGCAGTCGAGTCTATAATTTTAAATGGATTTCATCTTTTTAAAAAGATTGGGTGAAATTTTTTCATATTTTGGCCATGATAACTTTAACTTATTATTTATTTTGATATTTTGACAAGTCATATGATACGACAAAAATCCAATAGATCTATATTCACTTATATTATTATTATTATTATTATTATATATATATATAAATAAATGTATCTGCCCGGTAGGTGCACAATATTAACTGATCAGACACAAAAAAAAAAAAAATACATAGTAAAATAACTTACTAATTTCTTCTCTATTTTTCATTTATACTAAAAAAAAGTATTTATATATTTAAATATATATTTTGATTTTACTTTTAAATTGCATTCAAAATATCTATATTATATTTAATAAACTCAATAGAAATATTATGAAACTAAAACTTATTTTTTGATAATGTACAAGATCTTTAAGAATGTGGATTTTCATGGTAGTGAACATATTAAATGTTTACATACGTTATTTTACAAAATTAGTTTAGAAACAAGAAAGTGTAAATTAAAGATTCCCTTTAAATGATGACCGACAAATGCTCTGTAGTGTAAAATATTTGTGAATTTTTATTTATACATACTACAGTTAACAATAGCATAAAAATCATTTGCTGTATTAACAATTTTTCTTACTTTTAATTTGAAATATTTTTAAATAGAAATATTTAGGACTATTTATTTTAAAAATATTATTTTGATAAAGTTATATTCTAATATTAGGTGTACTATAGTATTATTGTTTAGTGATATAATTATTTATTCAAAATTTAAATGTATGAAAGATGAGTTATCGAATATCATCTAACACCGAATTCTTCGAATAGTTCATTTAAAATGATTTTTCAGTTTGAATATAATATTAAGTTTAGAGAATTATCTAAATCATTTTATAATTTAAACGGTCTGAGTTATGTACATACTCATAAAAGTATATTAAACTAAAAGTCAAAAAGATCTACGATTTCGCAATTCTACTAAAAATTTTAATACCTATTGAATATACTATTATAAAATTAATTTAATTATTGATAAAATTTGAAAATAATTACTTGCCATATATTGTTTTAACATTTTAGACAATATTGAATTTTCATTTTACCATTACGTAGCAATTTATCTCAGCAGGTTTTAACATTTTTAATAACTTTTGATCTAGCGAAAATCTATATTTTTTTAATAGTTTTTAGTTTTGGATTATGCAATCAGGATATTATTTGTCTGTAATAATAAATCATAAAATAAAATATAATAACATTAAAAATAAAAATTATATTAAAAATATTATAAATAAAATGAAATAATTTTAGTTATTATTCGAAAAAACGAAGAAATAGCCGTTTTTTAGCTCTTTTCTAGCAAAAAACTTTGTTGATAACAAATTTAGGATAAGTACTTATTAAGTTTCAAACACTTTAATACATAAGTAACGAAAAATATTCGATAGATCAAAAATTATTAAAGATGTCAAAACTTAGTGGAACATCTGAATGTCATTATAAATTTATTTTGGAAATAAGAACACTAAAGGAATAATGGTAGTGTCTAGAATAATTTAAGAGTTTTGTTCAATATTTTGGAAAAATATAATAGTTATCTAATATTATGCCTCATTATAAAATTATTCTAATAAGTGTGATTTTTATGTTTCTTAAAATTTTAAGGATATATTGCAAAAATTATGTTTAACAAATTAAAAAAAAAAATTTTATTTTATTAAATTTATATTTAACTAAATTATGCAAATGAATAAATAGTAATCATAAATATCATAAAATATAATAGTAAACAGAACTGTAATAAAAATTTTCATCTTTAAAAAATGTATTAAACGTAGTATGTACCAAAAATAAATATGAAGGAACTTTTACTGCAGTTATATCAATTAGGTTTTTTCACGGTGCATGAACAGTTACTAAATATTTTAGAAGCTGATCATTATAATTTTTCAAAATAAATTGCACTTCTTCTTACATTAAAACGTATTGTGTCGCATAAAAATATATTTACTATTAATACTCAGAAAATAAAAAATATTTTTGTATAAAAATTTATGTTTAATATTTGTATTTTTGTTATAATTAAAACTAAAATATTAAGATATATAAACATCTTAAATTATGTAAATAATATTCTTAAATTTATTTATAATTTTTTCAAGTTATTCTATTTCAGAAATTAATATCTAAAACTACTAATGAAAACAGTTATCGGTAGTTATACACTTCAAATATAACTTCAAATTTGTTTTAATCACAAAAATCCTCAATTTTTGGTTATTATTTTTTTTGAAATCATTTTAACAATGTCTATTTTATATCCAAAAATGAGTTGATTAAATTTGTACACTTCTAATTCATATTAGAGTTCTACTTTAGTATTCAAAGTATTAGTATTATATTTAGTATTAAAGCTATGAATTTCACATTAGTTTTTCATTATAAAAAATTTTACAAGGTTGATAACAATTTAAAATAATTACTTTTTAAGTAACAAGTATTGTATGCATAAAATGGGAGAAAAACATAAAATTATATCACTTTTTTCTTTTTAGATACAAATTGTGAAATACATGATTTTAACATTATTTAATAAGACAATAATTGTTTTCAAAAATATTATAACGAAATAATAATTTGATCAAAAATTATAAGTATTGTGAAATAGATTTAAATCACGCTGATTATTGGATTTCTATTCAATAAAAATGCATAAACAAGAAAATAACATCTATAGAAAAATATTGTATCCTTAATTTAATTTTAGCACACCACTTTACGATTAGGCCAATACAATTTTAAATGAAGAATCTGACCTTTTTTAAAAATAACAATTTGTTATACCATTGAAACGAAAACTTTTATTGTTTGATAATTGCTTATAAATATTTAATTAAATCACATGAAGTGCTAAATTTTGAATTTTTAAAGTACTATAATTGATGGTTTCCATATTCGATAGGAACTAGGAAGAGTATAGCATATTGCACATAAGAGGTAATTTTAACACGGTCAAAGGCATTTGTAGGTGAACAATCATAAGCCGGAACGTAGATATAAGCAATCGACACCAACAGGTATTCTTCAAACAACACATTGTTAGTTGTTGGTTAGGTACATCAGTCCACAATCATGAGTAGTTTTTCAGTCATTATTTATCTTACATTTTTGGTCTTTTGTTGTGGTTCTTGTTTTTCCTGGTCTTCAACAGTACAGACAACAGAATCAAACACAGCCCTGACTTCAGCTGAAGGACCAAGTTTAGCAGATATTTACAAAATTATTGATTCGTATGATTTATCTAATCTTATAAATAGTTATGGGAATCCAGAAAATGAAACTGCTACATTTGAAGGTAAGAATAAGAAATTAAATACTCGTTTATAGGAATATATATAAACATACATGGGGTTCAAAGGGTCCTTTTTGAAATTCATATTTCTTTTATTGAAAATAAGTGTTTTTAGAAGGGTATTTAGCAAAACAATTTCAACATTAATAATATTAGTTATAAAATAAAATAAAAATTCATGGCCCCTCCGAGGAAAATTTTCTTAATACGTGACTGGATGATAATATTTTACGTAAAACCTATACATAAAATGTAATTTAATAGGAAGAAAGAAAAAACCTAAACCTGGAAAAATGATGATGATGATGGGTGCAACAGCAGCTATGAGTATGATGATGATGAAAGCTGGTGCTATAATAAAATTGTTCATCATCCATTCGTTTCTTGCCAAGAAATTGGTTGTCATTATAGCAGCTTACTTACTTTTGTGTAAGATGATGGAAATGAAACAAACTAAACCCCAAAAAAGTACCATTAAATGGATAGCATCACCACCTTCACATGATGAGCCCCCAATGCATATGATGCATCATCCAGTTCAAGAACCATCTTATGAGCCCCATCAAGAGCAACAAGCTCCACAGCCAGCAGATCAGTATGGTCCTCCTCAACTATCAGATCAATATGGTCCTCCACAACAATTTATGCCATCTGGAATGAGTGACTATGGGGCCAGTAGCAGTGGTGGTGGCGGAGACTTGCAAGGACATTACTCTCATATAAGCCCAGTAACATATAGACCAGGTATCAATCGTAATCAGCAAGACAAAAAAAATATTGGTCGCAGACGCAAATGATATAAACAAATTACTTAAAAGGTATTAATTTGTTAAAACTCTTATTTATAAAAAAGGTAAGAGCAATTATTAAACATAATGATCTTAAAACTATATCATAAATAAGATCTTGTAATTTATTTATTTATTTTATATAACTAAGATTTGAGGCTGTTAATATGTTATTCAAACATATTTATGTATTTATTTTGATAATATTCAAAGTTAAAAATAAAATTTCCTACAAAAAAAAAAAAAAAAAGAGTTATTCTTTAACATATTGAAACTTTATCAGTAGTCAAAAAATTTTTAATAAAATTCAATATCAGTTTAAGCTTAGGTACTCAGCTATATAAAAGTAATAATAAATTATTATTATTAAGGCTTTACAATTTAAAAATGCATTCATATCTATAAAAATACAGAATTTTATTTTATTTTAATAATTTCAACAAAACATTTATAGTATCATAAAATGTGTGACACAGTATTTTAATTTCAATCCACATAGTAGATACTTAACATTAAATTTTTTTTCTATTTAATGATTTTTGTTTTCTTCTTAAACATTAAAAATAAATTTATAAAATAATTTGTATTTCACGAGCCATGTACTTTGTAAAGTATGTGAAGCTTTACAAAAATTTAGTTAATACTTAATCTCAACTTACGCAAACATATTAGTTTAATATAAGTATAAGATAACGAGAGAAAGCATAAACTATTTGTCTACTTTATTTCAAAGTCAAAATAAAGTACTACTTAATTAAATTATCTTAACTATTCAAAATAAATAAATAACGTGGCGATAATAAATTAACAGAGTGCTGGACACCGGATGCACGTGTGCATGCTGACTTGGCATCGAGGCACATTGTAGTAGGACTTGAATTGATCATATGATATTTTGTGCAATGTTACCTGAAAACAAAAAAAAACATAATTGCTTTTAATGAGCTCTATTAACTGTAAAAAATAATGTTCTGGAACGCAGAGCTATTTGATCTTTAATTTGCGTTAGTTATCACTAATTTACCTTTTGGTACCATAATTTTATAGTTCTCTATGTAGTTAATGTTATTAATGTAAAATTATAATTGTTATTATTAATATCACACAGTTATTAAATAGCACTTTTTAGTAATATACGAATTTTATATTAATTTATTTTCTAACAAACTTTAGATAATTTAAATAAATGTGATAAGTTTTTTAAGCTTAATAGTAAACGTTATCGGGTTATCGGGTACATTATTCGGAATAATGAATGAAAATTATGTTAGTAGTATAAATATGCATTTTTATCAAGCATAATAAAAATTTTATCTCTAAGAATTTTTATTGGCACTAGTATTAATTGTTCAGTGTAATAATTTTTCTATATTAAATTCTTAAAAGTTAAAAAATATATTTACTTTTCAAATTATAAAATGAATATTTTAAAATACATTACTTTGAAAATAATGGATACAATTTCTAAGGTATAATGGTATTTAAATGCCTTATATTACAATAAATTAAAACTATAAACTTACTTGTTTATTGAGCTTGTCCACCGTATGCGAGATTATGGGCAGTTTCTAATGATGAACGTCCCCATCCAGAGCTGTATGAGTCACCGTGAGATTCGTGATGAGGGTGAGCAACAACTTCATAGGTAACGTGTTTTTGTTGACTGAACAATTTTTTCAGGCCAAGAAGAGTAGCCAACAAGAAGGCAAGTTTACTGACTAATAAAGCTTTACCGACGAGGAGAGCAAGGGCTTTGAATGCGAAAATCTTCAACATACCCAATTTCATCATGATAAGACCCATCATTTGTCCCATGTTCTTATTTTTACCACGACCTATAAACAGAGAAAAGGTCATTTGTTATTAATGTATCTTGAATATCAATAATTTAACATAAAATTAGTAGTTGTTCTCAGATCACTTAAGATGAAGTGCATTGACCTATTTACATATGAACTATTTACTATAGGAATAAAATAATTTTCTGCGTCAAAATTGCTTCAATATTTTAAAATAATAAAAATAAAAACAATGTAATATAATATTACAATAAAATAATAATATATATCATAATACACTGAAAAAAATTTAGCTGTTTTTAAATGATCCAGAAAAAAAAAGTTTACACATTTTTTACCATATAACTTTTTTACTATATAATTTAATAAAAATTGAATTGGCTGCTAAAAATAAGATAAATTAAAAAAATGGAAAAAAAATATTACTAAGAAAATAGACGACATTTTCGTAACATTATTTTACATTGATACAATTTCTGTGGAGTTTCAAATCACTAATATTAATTATAAAATCACTACTCCTTCGGTGTGTGCTCAACAATAGTTTTTCTATTGTTATCGATTGAATTTCAAACGTAACAGTTTGGAATGCATTGATGGAGAGTACATCGTGACAATAACCTAGTTATATTGTTACAAGTCTTATATACCTAAAACTGTGATGTGTATGTGTGAAATGATAATAATTGACAGGAGAGAACTGACATGAATGCGATGGACATCTGTTACCTTCACATATAAACTAGAATTTGGAATTGTGGTATTTGTTATTATGAGAATGCCTTCACACTATTGTATGCGAGTATATGAGCATTCAAATCTAATTTGAACTACTTTAATCACTTTTATCCAAAATTTACAAAAAAGCTATTTAATAGTTAAAGTAGTTCAATTAATATAAATTTCATTTTGTAACCTAGTTTCCAAAATGAGTAACTGTGAAAAGCTTACAAAACTTTTTAAAAAAATTGAGTATTTTTTTTTTTTTAATGCAAACTTTACAAGAACAAATTAAATTTTGTTTTTGATTTATCTTACAATTTAATTACGCTTATATTATCATTAATAAAGATTTAAAATTTGTATTTCTAAGACTAAAATGTTAGGCATAAATTTTCAAAAATAACTTTGTGTAATTTATTGCTTTTCATTAAACGTTTTAAGAAAAAATCATAGTTGTTTGTTAACTTTAATAGTTGCACAAATTTATTTTAAATCAAAGTAAACTATTATTTTTTTATTAGGATATGTAGCTTTAAATATGAGTAAGTCACTTACCGGTTTCTGTTTCGCCAGTTTTTATGGATAAACCAAAGTTGAGGGTACTGTCTTGGTCAGCTGTTGAGACAACGAAATCGGCTTCAGGCATTATTTTAACTTTTAGAGACCTAGACTTAACGAATCTCGTAAGTTTATCAGCCATAATTTCACTAAAAACCGATTCGTCTGATAAACTACGACCAGAGTCTAATTGTACAATTTCAACGGTTTGTTCTTCTTCAACTTGAGCGTTGTCTTTTTTGGCGATTTCGATGGTTTCACCATATTCAACACTGTTTTTCTTCATGAGTTTATTCATGTAAGTTACCAATTTCAGCATAACACATCCTGATACATCCTTTGCGGCACATTTATTGTTAAGCTTTTGAATGAGCTCACCTTCACGGATTACAAATGGCTTTAACACGTCGTTGCTATCGTTAGCTACCGGCGAACCGCACGATAATTTAGCCACACACATCACTAGAGCAAACACTGTGAATTTATTCATTTTTAATGATTTTATTTTATTAAAATTAAAATTGCGAGAAGTAAACGAACGATCGAAGAACTTCACTGTGCGTGTTTTTCGTCGAGTTACCGATAAAATGAACTTATCGAGGAAACCGAGCTCACTTATATGCTATTTCGCGACAAACCGGTCTTTCACTTCACCTGAGTTCGCATCTCCCCCAATTCCCTTTCTTTTGGGCTGTCTTTGTTCTCACCATATAGAATATATGTAAACTATATATATATATTCTAGCATATACAGAAATAATAATAGTAATAATAATCCGAATTTTTGAGTTGGGCAGTAGAACTGTCCACGACGTGCGTGACCTTGTTACAACACTACGGGAAATGTATCCGGTTGATGGATGTAATTACTCACTAGAAAATGGCATTCCAATACATTAATGTTATACTTAAGACATCTGGGTGAACAAGTTGATCTATATAGCAGACCACTTAAGGGATCTAGTTTGTACTTCTATAGAATATGCAATTAAAACGGTCATCGACACCTTGTCGAGTAATTCATTTCGACATCAAATTTAACCTATCAATTTTTTTTAAAATCTACAACCTTTAGAATATTAATGTTTAAAAGCTTAAGAATAGGCTTTAGCTATTTCTTTATAAAGTTCTTAGTATTAAACATGTTATATACGGTTTTATACAATTTTGTATACATTCAAAATTGAATCATTACGATACATTATCATTTAAAAGTATGTAAATATCTGAACTTAATGTGCTTATTTTATTTATTAACAGTAACAATCTTGCTACAGTATTTTTATGTTTACATTTTACATTGATAATTGGTTAGTATTTAAATAGTATGAAAATTATTATATTAATAATTAGCAGTTTTCATTTGATTATCTTGAAGTAAAATAAAAATATATCATAGTAGTTGGTAAGTTCTCATCGCTGTACATTGAAAAAGTTCACAATTTTCAGCGCCTTTAGTTACGAAAATAATTTTCAACTCATTATTTACTGAACTATATATGTACAAATTACTTTACATGGTATAACCCATTGTTATTTTTTTCTTCTCACAAAAATTGAAATTAAATACATATTAAAAAAAAAAAAATTTCACTTTTCTCTCATATTTTCAAAATAAAATACATGGGAATTTAAATTAATTTAATACAAATTTAAAGCAAAGATAATCTGTACTTTTAATCATAATTTATTTTTAAATATCTTATCATACATTTTAGTCGACAAATAAACATAACTTATGATAAATATGTTTTTAAACTAGTAAATGGTTTTTTGAATAAAATCGCATTTATCAAAATATTTACAAACCCATATGCGTCATAGGATGATCAATTTTTGTGAGGGGGTCTAATGTTAATTTTTTTCCTCCAAAAAATAACGTCTATATAACAATGCATATAATGTTGTTAAATTTTTGGAAAGAGTTAAATTTTTAGCCGCCTATGTACTATCCTTAAATATAATGCGATTCTAGTTTTATCAATATAAATTGATAAATATCTAACCGTTTTTGTTTTTACCTATAAACAAGGTTGGATAATAATATTGTGAAACCCGATATCCAAAATTTAAATAGGGTCCCTATATTATATGCCTCATTTAAACTTAAACTTGTAAACATGTTTTAATGAAAAAGTCTGAATTCTTAAGGCTTTTACTCTCTTCGTCTTTTCATAGTGTGTTATTATATAAAAATACTGAAAACTGGAAAAGTGATTTTTATATAATAATCATAATGGTAATTTTTTTTAGTTGATTTATAACTTCATAAAATATATCATCCACTATTTAAATTTTAGAAATTATCCTCAAAGTATTTAAAATAGTTTTATTCAATACATTCAATAGCATTCATGTAAAATGAATGCTTGATAAAACTTTTGTTCGTATTTGGTAAGCTCTATGTTCACTTTCAACACTTAATGTACCAATTATAAACATAGTTGGTAGTTGAAAATATAGTCTGTTTTTAGTTTTATTTAAAGGATAAAAAAATACATATTTTTAGTTTAGAAAAATTTTAAGTAATTATTAACAACATATATTTTTTTTAATTATAATAATTATTTAGGGTTTTCTTTTATTACAGTATGACTCTAAACTCGGAATACAATAAATTAAAAACATACATACTCATTAGGCGTAGAAATAAGTTATCAAATAAATAGCTACGTCATGAGTAATACCACTTTTCAACAAGTAAATAAATATTACAACGCTTATACTTAATGTACATGATGTGTACTTAAATAATAATAAGCTAGCGGTAGCAACTATAAATCATGAGCACGATCTCATAAAATATGTTTGAAGAAGTAATGAAGCGAATAATCAAAACATTCACTATTATTCTAACATGTGTTTGACAAATTGTTATTCATATAGAATAATATTAATGCTCTACACACTGCCTATAATGAAATGCAATTCAAATAGTCTTGTTTAGTATTATATATATGTATATGTAATACTCTATGCCGACCATACTAATTTATTGTATATAATTTTAAGACATTAAAGACATAATGAATAAATTCATACATTTTAGTGATTAACGTCAATAATAATATAATTTACAGACTAAAACCAGAGTCATTAATTAAGAAAATAAAATAAAATCTATTAAATTATCTGCAAAATTAAGAAGTCATAAATAATAGTATTTATAGTTTAAAGTTAAAATGGTTGTAAACAATTTTTGCGGTGCGTAAACCAAAATCGTTGAGTTCACTATAATTCATAATTTTTAATAATAAAAAAAAAATATGTCCCACAAAAGCGATGAAATGTTTGATTGTACGAATCTTAATGGCATAGTTAATCAATCACTTTGTAATCATTTTAAATACATTACAAAGACACAAAGAAGCATGTGACACTATGATGTTATAATCAAAATAAATAAAATAGCTTACTTTAAATAACAATTATAGCAATTATTTTAATCTAAAATTAGTTATTATGAAATTAAATAATTGTTCATAGTTTAGTTAAAATATTTAACATAAATGAAAGTTAACAATATTTTTCAATATTTTTTCCAGTCTATAACTAACACATAAATAACTATTTCATTAAGTATTATTTTAGTTTATTGTGTCTTAAACTATTTTATAATATGATTATATTTTTCACAAAAGTAATTATACTCTAAAAATTTTATATATCATTACAATTCATCTAATCCTAAGTCCAAGGGAATATAACTTTAGTTTAATATTTTAATGCAATGAAAAGTCAAAATTCAACATTTGTTTATTATAGAAGAGGAAAGTGAGATGGCTACCTTGAGATAGTACAAACATCGAGCTCTGTTCTGTACTGACATTATATTTATGATATTATGAGAAAATATTTAATAAAAACATGTCATCTATAGTAGTGTAGTGACTTGAGGTAAATGAAAGAAAACAGTGAATTAATTGGTCAAAACACGAAGGAGGCCTACATCTAAGTGAAAGTTTTGTTTTTATATTAAATTCCTAACTGCGTATATTGTTAGAAATGTTAAAATATATATTTTTATTAAATTTTGAATACTGGACTCACGCTATCATATAAAAACGACAGTGATGCCGAAGGCTCTACACTGAACGTTAAAATTTATGATTGCGGATTCCGAAAACTATACAATATAGATAAGCTGTAAAAGAAAACAAGAACAGTATCTCTGCAGTGTTCCTTTCAGCTTGTGCATCGTGAGAGACCTGCATGTAGTTTATTTCTATTCGTTTGCAATTGGCACACATTTGGCGGTATATATCACAATTCTAATGCCTACACACGACTTTATAATCATTTTACCTACCGTGTCTGTATTGGGTTAATAATTTGCATACGTATTCGTTTCATAGTCAATATCGGATGTTTGTGCATCGATTTCCGGCTAATGACGTTCTTTTGTCTGAGAGGTACTCTTATTTAAACAGAAAATGACAATGACAGCTAACTCGATCAATACCACTTGAACCACTTGATCTTTTGTACATAAGTATCATATATACATTAAAGTTAATGTTCCTTTAAACAAATTGGGTTAAGCTAACAGTCCAAATAAAATTAGAATCCGTGGCATATCTGATCTTTCTATATTATATATCTTTCTATATTAACATTAACAGGTACTATAGATCATATAATATTAGAGGTGGCCCATTGAATACATTTTTAGCTACTCGTATTATATTCTTAAGCTAGTGCGTTCTATTTAAATCGACATACATAAAATCATTTAGTTAGTAGCTAAAATGCTTACCAACAATTTCACTCGAATCGTATGTTATTAAAATAATTATCAAAACTCGCGATTTTAATTAAAAACCTTATAAATTAGTATATGAAGATGCTATTAGTCTTCCAACCATATTATTGAGGTATAGTCGGTACAACTAATCATTTTTCCAGGTTTAAAGAGAATAGTTAGAATTTTTAGTCACTGGCTTGATAACTGTTTTAAAGTTCATGAAAATAGGAGTAAAATAACCGTACTGAATACCTGAGAACGTGTGATTCAGAATGAAATTATGCGTAAAATATAACAAACAACATACACTATTAGAAAACTATCATTTATACTAACTATTGAAATAAGAGTTAAGTTTGAATTAAAAAAAATACAACCTTTAAAAAATTTATTGAAATAGTTAATAATATTATAATTCTAATAGCAAAGGGTTTTAAGCAATTATCATATATGGTAAAAAGTGAAAAATGGTATAACAATTTAGTTAAATAAAAATATTACCTAGCATAATAAGTCACTAAAATCTTACATATACGACTATTATTTTCAACTATGACATTAAATAACATAGTTAATTCAACAGTAAAAAATTTCGATATTTTTTACTTTTGTATATACTAACACAAATTAGTTAGAATATGAAAAGTATAATATCAAAATACATTTTAGTACATAATTGAATATAGTTTACTGCTGTTTGGTTTGATGTTTATACTTTCATTAAAAATGTAAATAGTCGTATTAAAGTCTTTAGACGACCTTCTAGACTAGTTCACAAGTGAATTTCTGAGCAACGTTAAACATTCATCTGGTAAATAACCGGAAGTGTAAATACTTATGTTTTAAAATACTATTG